TCCATTGCTTGTTTTCTTATAGTTGAAGTGTGTTGCCTCAAAATAGGTTTTTTTTTTTTTTTTTTTTTCTCTGACTCAAAAACACACATGAAAGATCCAATTATGAAGATTTATTTTTCACTCAAATGATTGTGTTCATCACAGAACACACACACACACTCTCTTCCTCTTATCTAATCCAAGACTTAGCCTATAACAAACACTTTACAAAAGATTCTTAGCTTTATGGTGTGTAGCCCTCCACTGCACAATATGAAACACCCCACCCCATGTGTTGAAGGTCCCCTTTCAGTTTGTTTTATAGTCGAGGAGTGCTTTTGTCTTTGCTGTTGTTTCTTTCATTCCCACTGATTCCATTTGTATTAAAATCTTTCATTCCCTTGCTTTCAGCCCCCATTAGGTAACCTTATGTTAGAAAAGATTACCAAAACCCATGTGATCCTGTGACTGCTTGGTCACATTGGGGATGGATGAAGTTCAAGAACTTGTGGGGCTGCCTTGGGACTCTTCTTGTGCCACAAACAACAAGGGAGAATGATGCCTGATTGCATGTTACCCCCTCGTGGGAATATCGTACCTTGGTACCAAATGAAAACCATTGACAAGTACCAGACAGTTACCTTGTGACCCCAGTTACCAAGTTTTGGTACCCCCTTCCAACGACCCCCACCTCAATTCCAACAGAAAATAAAATAAAATGCATACACCTATACTCTGTTGCTACATTTTCTTATTTTTAAAGCTTGAGGTTTACATTTCAATCCATTGACTCAATTGAAGCTATTTATCATCTTATGTGAACCGTTACAAAGAATGGTTATAATTATAAGGACATATTGTTAATTGAGAATTCAGCTTTCAATCATTAAGAGTTCAAGTTTAAATTTTACAAAATAATAACAACACAACAGTGTGCGTGTAGCCCAAGATTTAAATTAACTCAAAAAGGTTTGGTATATCAATCTATATCATAATATAAAAATCTCTCTTGGAAACACTCCCCAGTGGCAACGAATAACATGAAGCCCACTATTCTTGCATATAGCAACCGAATCATCTTTAATGAGAAAGCAAATATTAGGTTAATCATCAGATCCTGTATTCTATGCTTAGTGTTTCAGAAAAAGTTCAAGAGATATTAATGTTTTGTGATTTATTAATTCTTCTAATATTGCTAGCATGTGTGAGATACTTCCTAATCTACCTAATCACATGCTTCATAACAAAATAAATGGGGTGGGGGGTAACTGATTAAGCTGCGGAAAAGGTTATTAGAGATTATAAATGATTGGTATAAAATCAAAGTCATAATAAGCCATCGAAATGTGTGTTTGAATGAGTGCAAATTCACAAGCTCAGGTTGACTTGGTACCTCTTTTTTCTCAAAATCTTGCTACCAGTTTTTTCACATGCTTCATAACAAAATACATGGGGTGGGGGTAACTGATTAAGCAGTTATTAGAGGTTATAAATGATTGGTACAAATCAAAGTTATAAGCCATCGAAATGTGTGTTTGAATGAGTGCAAATTCACAAGCTCACATTGACTTGCTACCTCTTTTTTCTCAGAATCTTATGGGCTCTCTCTGAATCTGTGTCGGTGGATACATTTTCTATGATCACACATATGATATGAATGTCTATTCCCGAGTATTACTTATCTAAGTTAAAGACCTTTCGGAATGATGACCCCAATATATTTGGCTAATCTCCAATGCAAATTCTACTTTCCAATTAAATCTAATTGTACTACAAATTAACGTCCTTTTGTTTCCTAATTCATATTTGAAAATCTTAAAAAGCCTTGTACTACTAGTTTTTTCTTCAAATCAAATTATCAAACAGATCTCTCAAGTCGTGCTTGGTTGAGGCAAAGTTGAAAATGATTCCCTCAATGAAAGTGATATTTCACGTGCATTTGACGATCATGCTTTGATTGTACCTTTTTTTAAAAAAAAAAAAAAACTATTTAAGTCTGAGCAACAGTGTAAGCCTGTGATTCCTTCGACACTGATGGCATTTTTCTTTTCCTAGGAATAAAAAATGAAAGAAAAAGGATTAAACTAAGGTAATGGGATAGCAACCAATAATATTAGATTTGGATGGTGAAATACAATTAAGTTGTTGTAGATTTAAGTCACAAAAAGCATATCCATTGATGATTTTCTATATTAAAAAACTAATAAGGTCTCTCTGTCGGGTCATAGGGTAGCCAGATAAGTGCTCACTGCCAGCAAATGGTGTTGGAGTGAAATGGATATCCATATATTTTTTTGGGATTTTTTGGTTCTATGATTACTTTAGCTTTAAATCATTCCTGGCTTGCAGCCCATTATTCATACAGCAAAACATGGGAGGAGCACAATGGTGTGTATAGTAAGGTATGATTGATCACCATCTCAAATTATCATATACTTTCAATTGTCATCTTGACAATGTACTTTCATGGGTCCTTCCTTAGCAGGTTCTGATGCACGTGCCACTTTATTTGATATTAGCAAAGACATTAATTTTTTTTCCTCCTTTTTTATGTAGAGACTAATTTTATTTTGAATTGGTTTGTTTGAACGTTATCATCCAGCTAGGAATATGAATTTTGCTTAAATATATGAATGAGAGTACATAGGATGTATGAATTTTGTACTGTGCCTGGTATGAAAACTTGGGCCAGTTTCACTTGGTACTGTGCATATATTTGGGCCTGTGGAAATGGGTATTTAAAGTGTGGAGTAAAACAACGTATTTAATAATAGCAAATATAATGGCAAATTAGGTTTTTAAAGCCTATGGCAACAAATCCAATAAACTAAATAGAAGGACCCGAATTTGGGAGTAAGCCCAAGCATACCTATGTTAACAAAAAGGTAACAAGATTGTGTAAGAAAAAAAAAAAGGCGCAGTGGATTACTTGATAAAACATGATTTACTTATAATTTTCTATGAATCTTTCATGAAATTGGTAGAGTCGTAAAGGTGTAACTTCTGTATTAAATGTTAGAAGAATTTAGTTACTCTAAATTAGGAGGTATTTTGTGTGCATGCGTAGGCATCAAATTTGATATCGTGCCATGGATGGGTAGGCATCTATAGATATGCTTAAATTTTATTTTTTTGTGTGCATACATAGGCGTCAAATTTTAGGTGTCAAATTTTATTTCTCAAATTTTATTTGGTAATTTTTTTTTAATACTAAAAAAAAAATCATGGAACACTAGTCTAAAATAAACTTCCACTATGAAATAATTGTTGGAAATCGACAATCACACAGAATCGAGAAAACAGAAAAAGAGATAAGAGTAGAGAGATTGACACGATGATTTACCCTGGTTCACCCAATATAGGCTACGTCCAGCTTGTCTGTACTATATTCACCTCACCGCCACTCGTTACAAGTCTCTCGGTTTTACAAGGCAAACATCATCATGTGAAGTATGAGCCATACCCAACAATAATAGGTTATAAGAAATCAAATTTCATCAATAGTTGTGGTACACTCAAATCTTACATATAATGATGATTCACTCAAGTTTCACCAACAATGATAATATTCTCTTAAACTTGTCTAAAGATGTCTCACTTCAAACTTCTCTTAAGAATTTTTCTCACACAACCTTAGCTCTTCAAATTACAAAAGTTTGCATATGTATATATAGGTGATAGGTGAGGAGGGAATGCCTTGCACAAAGCATTAAAGAAAGGAATGCCTTCCAAGTTCAACCAAGCATCAAAGAAAGGGGTGTCTTGAGTTTTGAACCAAGCAAGAGATGCCTTGAGCCAAGCATTAAAGAAAGGAATGACTTCCCAACATATCTAAGACCAATTTGATGCTACTTTCGTCAGTGTGGCATGTCGAAATTATTATTATTTTCAACATTTTTAGCGTTAGACATATATAATTATAAATTTTTAAAATTAATATATACATAAAATTAACCCTAGTTAGAGGTATATATATATATATATATATATATATATATATATATATATATATATATGGGCAGGATCCTTTGACACCGGTGTCAAAGAAAAAGTTGGACACCTCATCTGAGAGCCGTTAGATTAAAAAAGATTAATGGTGTCACATGCTTACAAATCAGAGTCGTTGATTTTTTTTAATCTAACGGCTCTCAGATGAGGTGTCAAACTTTTTCTTTGACACCAGTGTCAAAGGATCCTGTCTCTCTCTCTCTATATATATATATATATATATATATATATATATATATAATTTATTGATGCTGAAAAATCACTTGTTTACATTTATGTGTGTTTTTAAATTAAATTTTACATGAACCGGTTTATATTTGAAACATTTATCTTAAACTTTAGGAGTATTTGAATATAGTCGTAATCAGAGATGAGAATAATATGCTCATGATTTTAGTTTTTATATTTATTTTTAAATATTTAAATATTAATTGATAATAGTTTAAAAATGCTAATAATAATAATAATAATAATAATAATAATAATAATAATAATAATAATATAGAAGTACTTCGTAAGAGTAGAGACACAATTTTTTTTTTAAAAGCAATTTCAACCAGTAGCATAAATTGAATCAATTCAGATAAAATATAATTAAGAAACGTTATTGTGTACAAGATCCGCACAAATACCATTAGGTTGTCATCAAGTAGTAAATAAATAAGCTCAAGTAGTTGAAAGGTTTAAATTTTTATACGTTCAAACTTATGGAAATGCATTTCGGGGAGGGGTAGCCTATACCTAATAAAAAGATATTAATCTGTATTTATTGAAAAAGATAGAGATATCCGGAGAAAGAAAATTCCCGACAAATAAATATGTCCTAAATAAAGAACACCAATGACTTGTATTATAAACAAACTTTTGTATTTTCTTATTCTTTTACAAGACGCTGAAACACCAAATCATATATATGCATATGATACGACAAAATTAGTGTAAACAGTATGACAAATAAACTTTGATTTTTCTTTCATGTGTGTTGAATTATTTTGGTACTACGTGACACTTGTTCATTTATCCTGGCTAAAGAAGTGGTTGATGGTGGGCATAATCTCAGGTGGTCGAGTACGAAGGAACTTCCTCAGGCCATGCTCAGCATATTTCTCTCCCTCTTCTTCGTTATCAAACACTCCCATTTTGCGGCGAGTTTTGTTAATCCTATAGGGAATTTTCAAGCCAAAAAATGAGCAAATTAAACATAACAATCCATATATATGTATGTATTGTATCCATTATCCCTTTATTCATAAGATTCAATTCATGAATTAGATGAGAATCAATTGTACCTGACATCAGGGTTCACAAGCAAGTTTCTTGTTAGCTGGAAGACACACATGCCAGTCACAAAGGTCATTGCAGCCAATAGAGGGTAAACCTACATATAGGACATGTGTCAGTGTCTCATAAAGCATAAGTAATTGATAATAAATAGCTTTTTAAAGGTGAAAACCACGCATAAACATGAGATATGTAAATATAATCTAAAAAAAAAAAAAATATGTTACCTCTGGTTTCATCCAACGCCCCATTACTTTTGGGAAAGTGTTATGCCGCTGTTACTAACAATGGTTGTTTGATTTATTTATTTTTTGCTTTTATTTCTAGTATTTCTGTGTGCTGTTTGTATATATAGTAGCTGGCAATTAGAATTTAGAGGGCTAATTAGAAAACCTGGCATGCAGGGTGGGCTTTACTGTGGGCTTTGTTCAAAGATAAAGTAATTGACTTTTACCAAAAACCAGGGGCTATAGCCTCATGTTTTTTAAGATGACATTTACAAAGAATGACTCAAAGCTAGGTCAATAGGCTAGCGTAGTTCCTCACGACAACTTTCACGACAAAGAATATTACTATCTCCCTTTCTTGTTTGATGGGACGAAGAATTGACTTCTTTGGATTTTTGATTTGGCGTCTTTCCTCGTATTTAATTTTAGGCTATTTTATTTAATTTAATTTCACGATTTTGTTATTTTTTGTGCCCATGAACTCGAGATTTAATTGAATTAGAAATTTTATTATATGGGTTGTTTTAAAAATTTGATAATTATGAATTTTTTACTTAACATATAAATATTCACTATGTGTTTGAATTGATTTATTTATATTTTAAAAAACTATAATAAAAAAATAAATTAATTCAAATATTTTTTAATCTTATAAAATATAATAAAGAGACTCATTTTCAAATATTTAAAATTATGTTCTTTTTAATCTTTAATTTATTTGTATAAATGTTTGAATGTGAAAAATAAAGCACAAAAATTTAAATTGTATTTCAATTTGTTGACATTATTGAATGAATACTTTTTAAGACATTCAAAAATAAAAAAGTATTTTTATTATTTTATCATTTTATTAATAATGAATTTAGATGATTGATACTTTTCTTTAATAAAATTAACAACTTGTACTTAATAGTATAATTAACCACTTTTAAAAATAATATATTTGATTAACACCATTTTTATCGTATAACATAAATTATCAACCACAAATGTGCGGTCCCACTTGTTTTCAAATGATTAATGTTACAAAAACCTCCAGCCCATAATTAGCTATCCCCTTAACATTTTCTGGGTCCACACATGTAAAGAAATCACTTGTTTATGTTCCTTGTTTATAATGATAATTAACATATATTTGATTTTGATGCATTTTCAATATAAAAAATATTTATTTTTAATGATATGTTGATATATTATATAATTAAATTTATTAAATATAGAATCAATATAAAATTACATGATAGCACGGCCTTAAATATTATATCATTCTTAGTATAAAACCTTTTTTTTTTATATTATCATCAAATGAAATTATGTATTACTACATAGCCTAAGTTTGGTACAATTTGAGGTAGGCCTCCGGTCCTGTAGGTGCCTCATAAGTCATTTAACCTATTTAATTTACTTCCCTAATGACTATGCATAATGCATGCAAGTGGATCCTACACCAATTGCGAAACAATATATATCAACCATTAATGAGATAAAGTTATAAGAAAGAATTAGGAAAATATTTGGTGATATGGATATTAAGTCCTGCGGTGAGAGTCAACCGCATAATTAACCCAAAATGCCAATCCAAAATAAGTCTTTAATATTTTTTACTTTATATTCACAAAATATCCTTCATAATTAGAATTGCCTTATTTATATTTTATATTCAAAGGTGTCAAAAGGACTGCTTAATTTGGACCATGTTATTTTGAGTCGGGCCCAATTGAACATCATATATGTCGACCCAATATTTTGTCAGTCCAGTTCAACTCAACATCCGCTTCAAATTGGATGGTGAGCTGGACCGTCGACTTCTCAATTTTGTTATTTTTTTTTATTTTTTTGTACATGTCACTTGTCAATTTTGTTTAATACAATAAATTTAATCTTTTAAATTTTAAATTAATAAGAACTTAAAAATTTGAAAATTTTGGTAGTGATCCAATAATAAACAAAGGGTTTTATGAGTATAATGTTACATGATGTAAGAAAATTTTTCTACATACACAATTAAGAGGTGGGATTCACATTTTTTTTTTCTCTTTCATTATTTCATTTTCTCTCTCCTTTTTATGGTGAGTGTAGGAAATTTTTTTTATATCATGCAACATTATACTCGTTAAACCCGTAAACAAACAAGTACATTTGTTAAATGGCCTTTAATTTACTTTTTTTTAGTATATCGACCTTAACTACCTCTCTTTGATATTTTCACAAGTTAAAGTTTCAAGCTCCTCCTTAAAGATGTATTTGGTGGGAATCAAATATAGATTCTTTTTCACTTATTCGGCCTGTGTTGTCAACTGAACTTTTCCACTGGATAATAATGATATGCTTTTAAATGATAGCATAAAAGGAAAATAAAATCTATTAAATTTTAAAATAACAGATTATATATTTATAAATATGATCCTCAAATTGGTAAAAAGATCGAATGATAAAAAAACACAAAAGGGTCCTAAAATCATTATTTAATTCTCATTAGCCAATACACATAACTTTCATTTTTATATTTTGAAAGTTCAAAATGTGTTTAAAAAAAATAATTTCGTTAAGGAAATTTTATAAATTATATGCCTTATTAACTAATAAATATAAACTATAAACCATATTTTTAAAGGAAATAGTTTAATTTTTTTGGAAGTATTGAAAGAAGGCACTTTATAGAAAATAGTTTTTAAAAGTAATTTTTCTAAAAAATAATGTATCTATGTTAGCTATTAAACTTAGACATCACTTTATTATTTGAAAGTAAAATATTTGTTTGAAAAAAGACAATATATTTTAAAAGAAAGTTTTGAAATCATAATTAGATAGAACATAAATTAGAAATAATTTTTTAAAGGAAATAGTTTTAAAAAAATAAAGTTTTGAAGTATAGAAAGCAACTATTTTGTAGAAAATAGTATTTAAAAGTAATTTTCTTTTATAAAAAGAAAGCATGTATATTGGCTACTAAACATATCTTTCATTTTATTATTTTAAAGTGAAAAATGTGTTTAAGAAAATAATTTTTTTAAAGAAAATAATTTTATAAGAAATTCTTAAAAATCTTATAAACATAAATTAGAAATCATATTTTAAAGGAAATAGTTTGAAAAAAGAAAAAAATTGAAGAATAGAAAGTTGGTATTTTATAGAAAGTAGTTTTTAAAGTAATTTCTTATAAAGGAAAGCATGAATATTTGCTATTAAACTTAACTTTCATTTTCATCATTTGAATGTAAAAATGTGTTTGAGAATATCATATTTTTAAATAAAATTTTAAAATCATATGTCTTATTATACATAAATTATAAATCATATTTTTAAAGGAAATAGTTTAGAAAAAATTGAAGTATATAGAAAGTATGTCTTTTATAGAAAATAATTTTAAAATTAATATTCTTTTAAAAAGAGAGCATTTTTCTAAAATGAAATATTTTAATTAGAAAATCCTTAAAAGTAGAAAATTGAAAGTAGGTAGAGGTAAATAAAAAAAACCTATATTCTTGTGGATTGGATTTATGCTCACTAATGCATTCCTATTATATAATATACAGGGATATGTTATTTTACGTTTTTTTTTTTTAGCCTACCTTTACTTATTATTCTCTAATATCGTTAGATCTGAATCTGAGAGAAATATAAATATTAATTAAGATTATGATCTAATGGTCTTTTAGAGTGATAGACAAAGATAGACAGAATAAAAGGTAGATAGAATAATATATCCCAAATATATATATCAATATCAGTACTGTATTTAAGTTCCAATAATATAAATAAGGGAATAATCTGTTTACAATTTTTTTTTACAAATTACACTAAGTTTGACCGGTCATACACTCTTGATTGAAGTATGACCGGTCAGACATATTAATACCGTTAGATCTGAATCTGAGAGAAATATAAATATTAATTAAGATTATGATCTAATGGTCTTTTAGAGTGATAGACAAAGATAGAAAGAATAAAAGATAGATAGAATAACATATCCCTAATATATATATATATATATATCAATATCAGTACTGTATTTAAGTTCCAATAATATAAATAAAGGAATAATCTGTTTACAATTTTTTTTTACAAATTACACTCAGTTTGACCGGTTATACACTCTTGATTGAAGTATGACCGGTCAGACATATTGTAGTTTGTAAGACTTTGTAAACTAAAGTTTGTAAATATAACCTTCCCTGTAAATATTAAAAACATTTAATACCTTTTTTATATTATAAAAGAGGGTCTTTTTTATTATAAAAAAGGGTCTTTTTTTATGTCTATATATTATGTTTCCTCCGGTGACCATTTCTGAACTGTGTGTTACTCAAGCTCCAAAGGCAGCTAAGCATTAAGAACATGGATCGCAAGCTTGTGTCTAGCTGGTACAATCTTCATTCATCGGTGCCACCATCTTATGTGCAACCACCAGAAAGAAGACCTGGTAATGCTGTAATTGCCACCGGCATAAATATTCCAGTGATAGACATTGGAGGACATGATCGAGATGATATCATAAGGGACGTTATGAAGGCCTCCGAGGAGTTTGGATTTTTCCAGGTTCAATTATTGTGCACTCCTACAATTTTATTTTATTTTATTGTTCACTGCTGTTTCTTTCTCCACTTTGCTTACGTTTATTATATATTATTTTTTAATATAGATCAACTTAATAAAGATAAAAGTTTCATAAGTCGTATGCCCAATCGTAAGCATTTAACCGCTCACATTAAATACTCTTTTGTTCTCAACAAAAAAATACAAAATTTATTTTAATTTCTTAGAAAAAAATTATTTATATTCATCTTTTTTTAGGAATTAATGTGAGTCTTTTTTGAATTTTTTGTGAGGGACCACAATTTCAAAAAAATTGAATTTCATAGAGACCACAATGACTTTTTTTTTCTAAAAATTAAAATGGGTTCCGTATTTTTGCTTGAGGATTCAAGATTAAAGATATTTACTTTATCTTCAATAAATTAGTGAATTAAATATAATTATGATCGATGACTTAGTCTAAGAGTTTAATTTACATCAGCGTAAAATAATCTTATCAGATATATTTGTTTATTTATTGGGAAAAAAATATCTAATGTTACTTTAGATAACTTTATCTAATGTTCATCAAAACGACATTGTTTTGGGGTTAAAAAATTAGAATGATAAAGACTATTATAACCCTGAAATAAATTAAAATTACAAAAACATTATGATTTCCGCCCAAAACGACGTCGTTTCGGAGAACAGTAGATAAAGTTATCTAAAGTAACTTTAGAAAACACAAACCCATTATTTATTTATATTAACCTTCAAGCATTCCACGTTTGCATGTAACGTTAGATTAATCCGAAATACTGTGATTTTAGGTTATCAACCATGGAGTTTCTAAGGAGTTAGTGGAAGATACACTGGGGATTTTCAAAGGATTTCATGCCATGCCTGTGAATGAGAAGATAAGTGAAAGCTCTAAGGACCCAAATGGAAGCTGCAAGCTCTATACAAGTAGTGGGAGGAATAATCAAGATGTGGCTCTGTATTGGAAGGACTCTTTACAACACCCTTGTCCACCTTCCGGAGATTTCATGGAGTATTGGCCTGAGAAACCTGCGGGATACCGGTATATTCTTCTACAGCTCCAATATCTTTGATCTTTTATTTGTATTTTATTTCTTTTATTTGAATCTGTACGCTACTTCGTTGACCATTTGTGTTGGATTCTATCTCATTTCATTGGTTATTTTGTGTAAGTTGATGTGTTTGCTCTCTCTATATAAAGTAAATGTAAGTACAATTGGAGGATATAAATTTTGTCCTGTCACTTTCCTTATAATTATTATAATATTAATTTTTTTTTCTCTTTAAATATTTTTCAGAACCCATTGCTGATGTGGCGATTTTTTTTTTTTTAATATTATAATTATATACTTTTCAAAATACATAATTATAAGAGAATGACGTGATAAACTTTACATCCTCCGTCGTAACATCCGTATAATGATAATCTTCCTCATATAATTGACTTGTTTTCATAACGGTGTATAAAAACAACTGACACTTCCTAGAAAGTTTAAGCGAAATTGTCTCCCTTATCTTATTTCATAATTAAATCATATTGGCGTGGAGAAAAGTGAAGTAGGTCTCGCATTGGTTCATTTTTAACAAATCTGTTGAAACTTGAAAATACTAACCCGGTTCCCTTTGAGTAAACAAGCATATACGTAGGTTTTATACTATAAGTTATATATAAAATCATTAATGTAGTCTCATCCACCATCAACTTAAACTTTTGGGTTGAAATAATTCATTACATATATATTAGAGTTCCGGTGTCTGGATTTGATCCTCACCCCACTTTCTCTTCTGAAATTTCTTAGCATAGGTAGATGAATTTGTGTATTGTCTACCTTTAGCTTAGTGAGCTCTCATGTGAGGAGACATGCTAGAGATATATAAAATCATTAATGTAGCCTCACTCACCAACTTAAATTTTTAAGTTGAAATAATTCTTTACATAGACAAACCATATAACTTTAACTAATTATAGCATATAACCAAACTTAATCCAAACATTATTCAGAATTCGTAAAAGTCGAAAGTTTAAAAGCTTCATTACCAGGTTCAGCCAACTTTTAACAAGGGTTGGGGTATTTGTATTCCAGCTCACTATTTTTACTGTTGAGATAGGTTGGCCTACATTACACTTGCACTGGTTATGTTTGCAAGGGCATCTAATTTCAAGTTTTTTTTTTAATGTTTGTGAAGGTTTCATATTGTGTAAAATTTGGTTCAATGCGAGATTTGCTAAATTGAAATTAAAATGTTAATTTGGTTCAATGCGTTACACATGTTCTGTTTATTTAAAGTTTTAAAAATGAGATTTTTTTAGGGGACCATATTGCCGTTGTATATTTAATAATTTAATTAACATTTTTTTTGGCACTTTCCAGGGAAATTGTTGGGAAATATACACAAGAATTAAGAAAACTGGGGCTCAAAATTTTGGATCTGCTGGCTGAAGGGTTGGGACTGGACCCAAAATATTTCTATGGAGAACTTAGTGAAAATGCAGTAGTGATATCTCATCTTTACCCTCCATGCCCTGAACCAAGTTTAACCTTGGGAGCATCCAAGCACAAAGATCCTAACATTCTTACCATTCTGCTTCAACAAGCAGATATCACTGCACTTCAAGTCTTCAAAGATGGGGCATGGATTCCTGTTGAGCCAATTCCCAATGCCTTTGTAGTTAACATGGGGTTTATGCTACAGGTATTTATTTATTCATCTAGCTCATGATGATTTATCATCTCTATAGAGTAAGTGCACAATTAATTTGATAGTTTGTAGTTAACCTTCATTATTATAAAGTATTAATTCCATGACGAAGTTTATATTTCTATGACTTGTATAGATAATTAGCAATGGAAGGCTCATTGGTGCTGAACACAGAGTTATCACAAATTCAAGCACTGCGAGGCACACTATCGCTTATTTCATCAACCCAACAAAAGAAGCCTTTATAGAACCTGCGAAGCCTCTGCTAAGTTCAACTTCTCCACCCATATACCGATCCATGACATTTGGAGAACTGCTAGGAAATTTTTTGAACAAGGGTCCTTACTTTGAACCAGAATTGCTCCTAGAACCTTCCAAAAAAATATAAAAATGAAACCTTCAAGACAGTTCGTATCAGTTTAACTTTTACATAATAAATAAGATGATGGAGTATCTTATGAGTGATTTATCTTGTAATTTACTCTATGAAGGCCAATGGTTAATTTGTGGCCCAACAGTTGTGTGCAATCTTTTTATTAAGTTGAGCATTTTCTTAAGAACTTGATTTAAAATTTTCTGTCCTATATTTATTATGCTTTGTGGTTCTTTTATATATATCAACGACTCTGATTTGTAAGCATCTGACACCATTGATATTTTTTGATCTATAGACTCTCAGATGAGGTGTCAAACTTCAAATTTGACACCGGTGTCAAAGGATCCTACCCCTATATATATATATATATATATATATATATATATATATATATATATATATATATATATATATATATATATATATATATATATCTTCCACTAGTGTAAGAGTTAGAAGTCTTACACCCAATCTTGACCATTGATCCACTTGTATCCAATGGCTCACATTATTAAAAAATTAGAGTCCTTATATATAAGTGAGATCAATGGACAAGATTGAGAGTATAACTTACACTGGTGTAAAATGATCCTGACCCAATATATATATATATATATATATATATATATATATATATATATATATATATATAGGGTTTAGTGAATGTACAGTGACTGGATGTAAAATTCGGTCCAGTGCACTAAGTTCTCCCGCGAGAACACAGTTATAGTAAAATTTATAACAATGTTCTCCCGGGAGAACACCTGAAGAACACTATATAATATTTATTGCACTAAGTTCTCGCAGGAGAACTTAGTGCACTGGACGGTCCAGTGACTGAATTTTTAATTCTTTATATATATATATATATATATATATATATATATATATATATATCGGGTTCCTTTTTTTATGTTGCTTAAAAAAAATTATCTGCAGCAATTCAACCACCCATTATAATTATGAACTTTTTTGTTGCTGAAAAAAATTCATCTGCAGCAATTCAGCAACCCATTATAACTATGTGTTACCCGTGATACATGATTATAATGGTAAAATCATTTTTTCATTATGCGCCATGTCAGCCGACAATGTTTGAGGAGAGAGAGAAAAAAATTAATTTTAATATTATAAGTACATACTACCTACAATACATAGTTATAATGGATTGTTAAAGATAACTTTTCCTTTTAGCAACATACAACAATGAATTCTCATATACTCGCTCATAATCTAATTGCTTCCATAACAAGCTGCAGATAATAGTTTGACCAATTATTTTTCCTCCTAAATCGTACCAATACTCCAAAACAAATATAAGAATATACTCCAGTACATCCATACATCATCATTCTATTTTATAGTGGTGAATAAAAAAGTCCACACTACTTGTGTAGAAAGCAAGCGAAATCACAGTGAAAGCCTCATCTTTAGAGATTAACTTATTTGAGAATGTCAGACCTGCAATCAATCCTCTCTTTTTATAAAAATGAAAAAGGAAACAAAGGATGAAGAGAGCATGATAATGGGTACGTGATAAAGGAGAAAGAATAAGTTTTCTCTGTAATCAATTTGAGTTGTTACGTTGTTTTAATAATCTCTGTACGTTGCTTAGTTGCTAACTAATATAAGAGTAAATACTCTTTTTGGTCCATTACAAAAAATTTGGTCCCCACTTTAGCCCCTTACAAAAAAAATTTAGTGACCTGGTCCCTATAAAATTCAAAGTGGACACATTTTAGTCTTTTTGAATGACTAATGTGTGTTTTTTTTTTTAAATTGTGAGGAACTACGATTTTAACTAAATTGATTCACTTTGAATTTCATAAGAACTCGAGACTAATTTTTTTTATAAAGGAATAAATTAGGGATCATATTTTTTATTTAGGACTTAAAATGATATTTAATTCTAATATAAATATTAAACCAAGTGACAAATAAAAACCTGCAACAACAAAAAAAACTAAAATCACAACACTTATATCCGCACTTGCGGACATTTGAGCCGCTGGAGTCCGCCAATGTATATGTATAAAAGTAAGCATGTGATCAAGCAAATGTTCAAACAAACTTAGCGCGAATTAGAGATAGAAAAGATTCAAGCTTTTAGGTCAATAAATATTTTTTTTATCTTCATCCTTGTGTTTTTGGACTACGTTAAGCATTCCTTTATCTTAATTTTTTTAAAATATTAAAAAATATTTAGCATTTCAAAATTTGTGCATCATAAACTTCAAAGTTATCTTAAACTTTAACTATTACTCTATCAGAGTCTTCTGCCTATTTAATATTATGTGAAATAACCATCATTTTAGACATATTATTTTGGGCTAATTGTGGATTAAAACTTTCTAGAATGGACCTTGTGTTGGTTAGGAACAGATTAATTTTATGCATTCAACTACACGATTGATAATAAGGCCAATAAAAGCAATCGGTGATGGTAAAGACTAAAGAAAAACAAAGAGAAGTGGAAGCTAGTGGTATTGAGATACCAACTATATATAGAGAAAATTTATTTTTTCTCAATTAATTGCAATTATTAACAAACATTTTCATATGGATTTTTTTGGAATTTTGTTTTTGAAACTGTTGTAAATAATATTGATTTAGTTATTATTTAGTTTTTATTTAGTCATTTATTGTTGTATTAGGCCAAGCCCTTTGTTGTATTGGGCCAAGCCCATTAGGTTAAAAGTAGGTCAAATATTCTCTATAAATTGAGAACCATTTGTACAGATTATTTACAATTCTATAATATATTAGAATACCCTTTTCAAGTTGGTATCAGAGCTCTCGATCTGAGGGCTTTGCTTCCGCACATATTATCTTCTTTTTTAACAAAACCCTAATTTCTTTGCCTCTTGCCGCCATTAGCCGCCACCGAAAAATTTTTTCGGGGACCTTTTGGACCAAGGGGACCATTGTTGATCTTATTTTTCCTCCGATCTATCATTCTACGCAGTGTTCCTCCGCCACAAACGACCAAAACACCTCCGATCGCCTCCAATCAGATCTGTCTTCACCGTTTGGACCACTTTCCGGCGACTTTTCAACCGCGACCACCCACAGACAGGTGTGCGCTCACCGGACGACCACACCAGAAAAATCTCAGCCGGCGAAGCCCATCCACGCGCTCTCACGCGCCGCCCCTTTCCCGGCGAGTGAATCCCACGCGCAGCTCCTTTCTCCGGCGCGTGGAGGCGCGTGCGGCCGTGTTTTTGGACCGGACCACCACCATTCTTCTCGTCTTCTTGTCTTCTGTCTGGATCTGTAATTATTTTTCTGATCAGAGGTCATTTGATATTCTGTTTGGTTGATTTTATCGCTGGTTGTTAACTTTTTTTGTTAAAGAATGGCTGAGCATGATAGTTCTTCGATCTTATCTGGTAAGAGCACACGTTCTATATCTCTTCTTGCTTCTTGCACTGATTTTAAAACCTCATGGATTTTGGATTCTGGTGCAACTGATCATATGGCTTGTCGTACTGAGTTATTTTGTTCTTATCATCCTACTGTTGGTAGTCATACTATATCCGTAGCTGATGGATCCCATAAATCAGTTATTGGTTCTGGTAACATTCAAATTCAACCTTCCTTGTTTCTTAAAAATGTTCTTTATGTTCCTCAGCTTTCTACTAATCTTATCTCCACTCAAAAACTTACAACTGATTTGAATTGTTCTATCACATTTTTTCCTTCTCATTGTCTTATTCAGGATCTTACCACGAAGAAGACAATTGGAGTTGCTAATGAACAGGATGGGTTGTATCATCTCCTTCCAGACCATGCTAGCAAAAATCAGTTATTAATGACACGTCATCCTTCTACTGCAGAGTCTATGATTTGGCTCCATCACAAGCGTCTCGGGCATCCACCATTTAGTCTTTTGAAGTCTATGTTCCCCTCTCTGTTTCTCAATAAGTCGGTTGAGACCTTTCATTGTGATGTTCGTGAATTTGCAAAACACCATCGAGTGTCATTTCCTTCTAGCACTATTAAAAGCAGAGAACCTTTTTCTCTTATCCATTCTGATGTTTGGGGCCCTTCTAAAGTGCACAGTGTTTCAAGTGCTAGGTGGTTTGTTTCTTTTATTGACGATTGTACTCGGATAACATGGATATACTTGATGAAAGACAAGTCTGAAGTACCAGAGATATTTATTCGGTTTCATCACATGGTTGAGACTCAGTTTGGTAAGGGTATTAAAAGACTCAGATCTGATAATGGTACTGAGTACGTCAATCAACGCATGTCACAATTCATTTCAGACAGAGGTATGATTCATGAGCTCACATGTGTTGATACCCCTCAACAAAACGGGGTTGCTGAAAGGAAAAATCGTCACCTTCTTGAAGTTGCTAGAGCACTACTTTTTCAGACATCTGTTGCTAGTTCTTATTGGGGAGAAGCAGTATTAGCTGTAACTTTTTTGATCAACCGTTTACCTTCACGGGTCCTAAACAATATCAGTCCTATTCATTCCATGACTTCCTTCTTTCCTTCTGTTCCCATATTGCTGAGCCTTCCACCAAGAGTGTTTGGATGTGTTTCCTTTGTCCATGTTCATAAACAACATCGGAGTAAGTTGGATCCTAGGGCTCTTAAGTGTGTCTTCCTTGGTTATAACCCTTATAAAAAAGGGTACAAGTGTTATCATCCACCAAGTCGGAAATTTTTTGTTTCTATGGATGTCACCTTTCAAGAATCCGAATCTTATTTCCTGGGTCCTCATCGTCAGAGGGAGAATAGTTCTTCAGAAGACTCGTCCCCTTCCTTCTTTGAGTCTGGATCAATCTTCTCTCTTCCTAGTGTGTCTGCTCCTGGCGTGTCAGAACCTTCAAATACACTTGAGATACAACCCATACTGTCTCACCAGCAACCTCAATCGTCTGAACCACTGGTAAGTCCTGAATCTCCTATTTCTTCTGAATCTCCTGTTTCTGATTCTAATATTATTTCCTCTCATGATTTGTCTATTTCTTCTGATATCTCTAATGACTTACCCATTGCTTCTACTTCTGATGACTTACCTATTGCTCTTAGAAAAGGAAAAAGATCTTGTCACAAGAAAACTTGTTCCTCCTGTCCCTCTTGTACTCAATACCCTATCTCCCACTTTGTTTCCTCTGCTAATCTTTCTGTGCAGCATAAAAGCTTTGTTTCAGCACTAGATTCTATTGCAATCCCAAAATCAGTACATGAAGCCTTGAAAGATAGGAATTGGGCTCAAGCCATGCAAGAGGAGATGAATGCTTTGGAGAAAAATAAAACATGGGAGGTTATTGATAGACCCAACAGAAAGAAAGCAGTAGGGTGCAGATGGGTTTATACCCTGAAATATAATTCTGATGGCACTCTTGAGAGATATAAGGCTCGATTAGTGGCCAAAGGTTACACTCAAACCTATGGCATTGATTATGAAGAAACCTTTGCTCCAGTTGCAAAGATGAATACAGTGAGAATCTTGTTATCCCTTGCTGCCCATTACAATTGGGATATAAATCAATTTGATGTGAAAAATGCTTTCCTCAATGGTGAGTTAGAAGAAGAAGTCTACATGGAAATCCCGCCTGGTTTTGATTCTGTGAAGGGGGAAAATAAAGTTTGTAGATTAAAAAAGGCCTTGTATGGATTGAAGCAGTCACCTCGTGCTTGGTTTGGAAGATTTACTAAGGTTATGATGACCTTAGGATACAGACAGAGCCAAGGAGATCACACTCTTTTCTTCAAGCACTCCCAAAATGGGAAGCTTACTGTGCTCCTTGTATATGTTGATGATATTATTATCACAGGTGATGATTTTGTGGAGAGACAGATTCTGCAAACACGGCTTGCCTCTGAGTTTGAAATCAAAGACCTTGGGAAACTGAGATATTTCCTAGGGATAGAAGTAGCTCATTCAAGCAAAGGAATTTTTATCAGCCAGAGGAAATATGTTCTTGATCTTCTCAAAGAAGCAGGAAAGCTCGGGTGTAAACCCTCTAATACTCCTATTGAGCAGAATCACAAGATGAGCTATGAAGAAGAGAGTCCTCCAGTTGATAAAGGACAATATCAACGGCTAGTTGGGAAATTGATATATCTGGCTCATACTAGACCAGACCTAGCTTATGCTGTTAGTGTTGTCAGTCAGTTTATGCACGATCCAAAAGAAAAACACATGCAGGCAGTAGAGAGAATTCTTCAGTATCTTAAAGGTACTCCTGGTAAAGGATTGTTATTCCGACGTGATGGCAATCTATCTTTAGAAGTCTACACAGATGCTGATTATGCTGGATCCGTGACTGACCGTCGTTCTACCACTGGTTATTGCATGTTTCTTTGCGGTAACTTGGTGACATGGAGAAGTAAGAAACAAGATGTGGTTGCCAGATCAAGTGCAGAAGCTGAATTTCGAGCTATGGCTCAAGGCATTTGTGAGTTACTGTGGCTGAAAATTGTTCTTGATGATCTCAAAATAAAATGTGAGGGACCTATGAAGCTGCTATGTGATAATAAGTCCGCTATTTGTATAGCTTATAATCCAGTTCAACATGATCGGACTAAACATATTGAGGTTGACCGCCATTTCATCAAAGAGAAACTTGATAGCGGGTTGATTACCACTCCATACATTCCCATTGGGCGTCAATTGGCTGATCTATTAACAAAGGGGCTTCCTTTAGACAGATTTCAAGAACTTACTAGCAAGCTGGGAATGATAAATATTTATTCCTCAGCTTGAGGGGGAGTGTTGTAAATAATATTGATTTAGTTATTATTTAGTTTTTATTTAGTCATTTATTGTTGTATTGGGCCAAGCCCTTTGTTGTATTGGGCCAAGCCCATCAGGTTAAAAGTAGGTCAAATATTCTCTATAAATTGAGAACCCTTTGTACAGATTATTTACAATTCTATAATATATTAGAATACCCTTTTCAAGTGAAACCAACAACTTAACATGGTTTATGCATTATATGTTCTAAGAGGGACCTAAGCATGATTATTAAAAGATAATTAAAGGAAACACAAAAAAAAAAGACTTCACGTGCAATAATTCATAACTATATATTTTAATTAGTTTTACTTTAAAATATAATTATTTATTTTTGTAGGGATTTAAAAATGCCTTGTTTTAGTAAATAAAATGATTTACTCGAGTAAATCAGTTTAGATTACACTTCCAGATACACACCTTGGATTTAAGCCAATTTTAACCATAAATACATATAATTGGTCTTAGAGAAGACTGTTGATTTGCAAACAAGAGAAATTTAGATGAAAATTGAGAGGGGTGATAATGTGTCTAGACAGTGCTCCTTTCCACGAAGGTTAAAAGAGTAATTCTGGTTCAATGTCAGGACCCTTGCTCATGAAAATTCTCAAGAACTCTTCCAATGTAATGGACTTGTAGATTGGGCGAGCACCTAAACTTGTCAAAGGCATTGCAGGTTCTATAATCTTCTCATTTGTTGGACGGATGAAATAGGCAACAGTGGTCCTAGAAGTGCCTGAATTTGTGACAACACGGTGTTCAGCACCGATGAGCCTTCCATTGCTAATGATCTACAAAATCAGTCACAAATATTAATTTGAACTGTGTCATGCAAATCCTTATGATGAACATCAACAAAGTACAAGTAATTAATCGACTATATATGTGTGCAAAAATAATGTATTGGAAAAAGTGTACAAATTAAATATCATGCTTACGCGAATAGATCTTTTCGTATTAAAATTTCACAAGATCTTATCATGTTAAAATTGGACTCACTTATTTAATGTACGTGAAGAAAGAGATAGATATAAAAATTTCACATGACCATATTATATAAAATTTTAACATGAAAAGATTCCTTCCCCATTCTTATATAGTACTTATTATCAATATGTCAATAGTAAATAATTTCTAGCTCGAGAAATTAATATATACCTGTAACAGAAGCCCAATGTTAACCACAAAAGCATAGGGAATCGGCTCAACAGCAATCCATTCCCCATCCTTGAAGACTTGAAGTGCATTTATATCTTTTTCTTGAAGCAAAATGGTAACAAGATTAGGATCCCGGTGCTTGGGAGCTCCCAAGGTTAAACTTGGTTCTGGGCAAGGAGGGTAGTGATGAGCTAGCAATAATGGACTTTCACTAAGTCCCCCACTGCAATATTCTGGGTCAAGTCCTAATCCTTCACATAACAGCTCTAAAATTTTGAGTCCCAATGTTCTCAGTTCTTGTGTATATTTCTCAACAACTTCCCTGAAAGGTGTCATAACCAGCAATTTTTAATTTATTAAATTATTAAGGTAATTAATAGCCATGGTAGAGGACACAAGAATTTATGATTGAATTTTTCTTTTCATTAGATAAGAGGTAAATTATAGCTAGAATTAAGAATATACTTTCTTTTCTTGTTAATTTGACATACCCTCAATGATGATGACGATGATAACAATAATAATTAAAAAAAAAAAATGACAACATTATAAATCATCCCTTCAAAATGTGTTTTTCCAAAGATAAATTTTATCATTGGCAGAAAATATTTTAAAAAAATAATGACTTTGTGGTGAGACCAGATGCAACATAGTTATGGGAGGTGGCAGTGATAATAGTGCTTACCAAGCCTATGATGAATGTAATGGTAACGAGGAGTATATATATATAAGGTTATATTTGTATCATGTTGCTGTAAATAACAATAATTTTCCTGTAGACTAAGCAATTGAGAGAGAGAAAGTGAGATAAGAAAAGTAAAGAAAAAACTTGTGGGGCCCATGATTTTATTGTGTGTTAAGAATTACTTCAACCCAAAACCTTAAGGTGTTAGGTAATGGTCTTTTTAATGATTTATATTAATCTCTAGCACACTCCCTCACACAAGAGCCCTTTGGGCTTGAAGTGTGGTTATTGCACAGGTTCAATTTTTGGTTTACCTTTTCGTGATTTTATTTTAATTCCACTTTAAAGTGGGGGCGGTGATGATCGAACTTGTGACCTTGTAGTACTCAAGCTCTCATACCATGTAAAAGAACTACTTCAACCCAAAACCTTAAGGTGTTGGGTGAGGGCCTTTTTTTTTAATAATTTATATTATATTCTCTAACACACCTCTTCACGCAAGAGCCCTTTGGGCTTGAAGCGTGGATATGACACAAGCTCATTATTGGTCTGCCTTGTGCTGCACAAGCCCATTTTTTGGTCTGCCTTGTGCTTTTCTTAATTTCACCTGAAAGTTCTTAATTCTACCTGAAAGTGGGGGGCAGTGAGGATCGAACTCGTGACGTCGTGATCATTAAAGCTCTGATATTATTGTAAAGAACCACTTCAACCTAAAACAAGGTGTTAGGTAAGGGTCTTTTTAATGATTTATATTAATTTCTAACATTGTGTGTGCAGGTACCTACAGTAATTTTCTAGTAACATTATCTTTATATTTCGCGCACACACATATACATATACATATATATATATATGTGTATATATATATATACATATATATATATATATATATATATATATATATATATATAGGGCTTAAAATTTCTGCAGCAACCGTAGATAGTGTTATCTACAGCTGACACAGAAAAGTGGGCCCCACGGCTTTTAAAAAAAAAAAAACTCAGGATCCGTTGCCGTATCCTAGGATTCGGACGTGTATCCTTGCTTGCTGTAGGTACAGCAGTTGCAGAAATCATTTTGCCATATATATATATATATATATATATATATATATATATATATATATATATATAGGGGAGAGATCTTTTGACTCTAGAGTAAGACTTACAACTCTTACTCCCTATCTCAACCGTTGATTTCTGTCTATCTAACGGTTATTATTTATTTGAAATAAATAATTAATTAATTGTTATAGATAATCGTTAGATGGACGAAAATCAACGGTTGAGATGAGGAGTAAGAGTTGTAAGTCTTACTCTAGAGTCAAAAGATCCCTCCTCATATATATAGGGTTGACGGTAGAAGTGGCCTTGAACCTTGAGCATCTGTGGTAAAAAATTTATATATGGATGTTGCGCAAAAATCAGTCAAGAGACTCCTATAAGTCTTCTCACTAAACCAAGTGCAATGGTTAGAAAACTCATTATCAACTATTTACAAAAAGGTGAAGCTTAAAAAAAAATCAGAAGAATTTTGAAATATTTTGATTACAAGTAATAATGTTGTTCTTTTGTGATATGAAAGTCATTTATTTGAGTTTGAGAAATAATCTCTTTATAAAAATGCAAGAATGAGACTGCATATAATCGATTATTACTTTATTTTCATAAAAAAACTTTGTGTAATGAGCTTTACTTTTTTTTTTTTTAAATCTTAAAACTATCATTTCTAGGAGTTATGTTTCTAAGGATGTAATGGAATAAAAAAATTTGATCGTGACCTGTAATTTTATAATCCACTCTAAAGAAAACGGGAACCATAGCAACCTCTAGGAAAGAGGAAATCATTGTCAACCGGGAACACATCAACTTCCACCACCAAATTAAGCATCTCTGATTCTGATTGAAAAATTTTATATTATCGTGATCGTTGTCAAGGATATATAATTTATTTAAATGCTGACGTCAAAGATGAAATAAAATTGCATTTTGTGAGGAATAAATCAAAATGATGAAAGTAATAACATTAATCAATACTATAGTACAGTATAATTAAAGTTTCACGAGAAGCAGTGTATATATGCTTCAAAATAGGCTTTACTATTATTATTTAAAAAAGACGTAAAATGAGAGCAATAGAATTGTGGATTTTACCGGTATCTTGCAGGTTTCTGAGGCCAAAACTCCATGAATTCTCCCGAAGGTGGACAGCAGTGTCTTAATGTGTCCCTCCAAAACTGAATGCAATCTTTGTTGTTAATCTCACGGCTTGTATATAGCCTGCAGCTTCCATTTGGGTCATTGGAACTTTCACTTATCTTTTCTTCTGCAGGCATGGTATGGAATTCCTTGAAAATATTTAGTGTATCCTCCATTAACATCTTGGAAATTCCATGGTTGATAACCTACATCGTCGCAGTTTCTCATATTAACCAAACATGTACATATTTTTAGCACATGAAACATGAAAATGAAGTGAAGGTAGAAATAAGGGTTGATTGTATGCATATTACTCTTGTATTTTTTGAAAATAGGCGGTTCGTATAATCCAAATCATAATTTTTCGATCACAAGAAATAATCGTTGTGGAATTCATTTTTCATGTTGCATAAGATAAAATCATTTCATGCACACAAAAAAAAGTATATGAGATTCATTTTTTTTTCTCTTCTCCTTAATGGATTTCATTCATTTTTGTGTGTGGGTCTGCATTAGACAATTTTTTTTTTTTGAACTACTACATTAGAAAATTTTATCTCATACATAATTAGACAATTTTGTATAATGCAACGTGACAAATGTATTTTCCTATATATAGTTTTTAAACGTTGCTTTTTTAAAGTACTGAAAATTATGAGATAGGAAAAGGAAAAACTATGAAATTAGCAAAGGGAAAGAAGAATATTAACTATTCCAACCTGGAAAAATCCATACTCCTCGGAGGCTCTCAAAATGTGCCTCATGGTTTCGGCGCGATCTTGTTCCCCAAGATCCACCACCGGGATTGTCTTGCCGGAAGCAACAACAACCATGCCGGGTCTACTTTCCGGTGGTTGCACATAGGATGAGGGCACTGAGGAGTGAAGATGAAACCAGTTAGAGAGAAGCATGTGATCCATGTTCTTAACGCCTAAGTTCCACTGAATATGTGTAGCATAATGCGTTTTCTATATATTGTGTAATGAAAAGAGAACTTTAATATAATCTATTAAAGAGGAAAAGAAATACTAAAATTAAAGTCTAACAGGGGAATATTTTGTATATTAAAAATTAAAGGCATCACCTACTTAATAAATATATGAATGAGGTGGGTCGTAATGTGGGAAGTTTACAATTAAATGAATACGCACACATACATTTGACTTATGAAGTCTTCTAAAATTAACATTATCATTTCACCACCATCATAAGCTTCAATAAATAAATGGTTGTATAAAATTATTTTAATCAATTCCCTGAATCATAATAAGTTATTAAGATTAAGAAGTAGATATTTCATTAACAGAACAATCATTTTTTAGTAATTTTAATATAAGTTAATACAATTAAAATAATTAAGAATATATTAGTAATTTTATGAATACGATATGAGTGAATTGAACTTTTAATACAATTTTTTTTTTTTATAAATTACTTAATAATATCAACATTGACAATTTAATATCAATCAGGTGCTGAATAAAAAATCATCACAGATTAATATTACTATTTATAGAATAATAGCAACTAGTGCATGCCCCCTCCCCCTCCTTTTTCTTTCTTTCTTAAAGTGAACTCATTCATGCATGTGGATGTCATTGACTTTTGAGAAAGCTTGTTTAAGTTTTATTTTGGTATTTTATTCGAAAGAATTCACATCTTACAGATAAGGCTGTTAAAAAGTTCTTCACAATATACCAATTACTAATAATTATATAATAAGCATATAATGTCAAGTCCTAAAATCAATAATAATAAAAAAACTCCTGAACAGTAAAATGTAATTCATATAAGTTAATAAGCAATAACGCTTTGCTTAATCTAAGAAGTATCAATACTGGTTAATAAAAAGTTTGAAAGAAGAAATGCTAAATTAAGTTAAGAAATATTGATTGATCAACCAACAAAAGAAATAATATGATAAAATCAAAGAATAGTAAATAAAAAAACAAATACTTATTGATTGAAAAATTAATCAAGAAAAGAGTATAATAATATATTGAAACCAATGAATTAAAAATAAAAAAAGCTTTGGCTTCAGCCTTTCTTTGTAAGCTAAACAATGATCATAAGAAGATATAATATGAAAAGAAAATTATTTAATTCATTTGGTTATGAGTTGATAATATATCCCCTAGTTTGTTGATTTTTTAATAAATTTTTATTTATTTTTTATATTATATTATATTTTGAGTAATTCTATTTATAATATAATTTTCTATTAACTTTTTATTATATAATTTTTATTTTAATTATGAATTTCGTTTTTGTAACAAGCAGTGAGGCAGAAAGTGAATAATGACGAAAATTCTCTGCTGATTTCTAATGCATGCGTCTAGAGACTAGACAATTAAAGCAACAGATTTGTTCACCGAAAAACAAAAACAAAAAAAGCAACAGATTTCAATTACATATAATTGAAAGGATATTAAAATTAAATTAAAATGACTGAAATGGTCTATATATGGATGTAGATAATAGGGATAGGTTTAATGCAGCCCAGTCTGCTCTCAGCCCACTTCATAATTCTTCAGAGATATTTGGGCCTCCGCTTCACTCTTCTCGATTCTGGACCCAGGTCAATCGATGTCATATAAATGTCTTCTCGTGTTGTGCTGGAAACATAGGCCTGGTTCACTTCAGTTTCCGCATCTCATAACAAAAGGTGGCAAAGTGGGAGGCCTCCTCCGCTACTTTCCGCTCCGTCAATAATTCGTCAAAAAATGAGCCAGTCCAATCAATTTTATTTTTGAAAGTGGGCTGAAAAGCTTAGTCTGCTCTGCCCCATTTGGCGGGTAAGGCGGGTTGGTCCGCTAGCCCGAGCCTATTTTACACTAACTCTCTTCGGCCTGCTTATGCCCGCCATCAATCCGCCAAAAAAAGAGTCTGCCTCGCCCCGCCCTTTTGAGATGGGTTTAAAAACTCAACCCACCCTGTCCCATTTAGCGGGTGGGGCGGGTTGGCTCGCCGAGCCGAACCCGTTTTGCCGGCTCTACTCATAACCATACACATGTCATTGCCGTACGTAAAGCGACTGTACAAATGATTTTACACACACACACATATATATGTATATATAGGCAATATAATCTTACACCGGTGTAAGAATAATAATTCTTACATCAAATCTTAACTGTTGATTTCTGTGCATCAAACGGTTGAGATTTATTGGGTCCCACTCATTAATTAATTATAAAATTCCAATAAATGTTAACTGTTATATGCAACAGTTAAGATTTGGTATAAAACTTGTTATTCTTACACTGGTGTAGTTATTTTAATTTACATAATATGGATTTATTTGTTGGATCTGACGAAATATATGTTATTTAGTTTGAGCATTTTGCTTTTGAAATTGACTTAAATACAGATTGTATGAGTTTTGTTGTAATTCATGATTCTATTTTGACGTTAAAATTATGATTTTTGGTTTAGCAAAAGAATTTGAGTATTTTGTAAATTTGATTAATGGTTCTGCCTGAAAGTTTAAAATTAACATGTTAACGAGTTAGGTCAGGCCATTTGTTTTTTTATAAACGAGTCAAGTCAGGCTAACAGTTAGACTCGTAATAGGTTTGAGCTAGGCTAAATTGAAATTTTTTAGCATAAGCTTGAACTTTTCGGAGCAAAGCTTAGCCCAATCCAATCTTCTTTCACCCCTAGCTGACACCAATATGTGGCTCAGCCTATGAGCTAATACGTTCTGAGGCTAATTAAGGAATAAGAAATAAGCACCACACCAACACACACATTGCGAGGTCATTAATGTAATTTCCAGCATATTATATTGTAAGTAATGAAAAAGAAATACATTTGAGAGGGACAAAGAGTTTTAATTGTGAGTAATCTTTGATTTAGTATTAATCACGTCTCATAACCGACTCAAAGAATTGAAGCTTATAAAAATACCGGTTGGATCAACTCATCTTAAAAAATAATAATTAAGATCAGTAAAAAGAAATAGATGGCCGACCTATTAATTTAATAAGTTGTATTTTTTAAAAAAGAAGAAGAAGTTGTATTTGATGATTCTGCGTATAGAAGAAGAATTGATCAAAATCTTTATATACCGTCTTCGCTCCTAAAAGTTACTTATGCAATCTAATCGATGACAACAATCTAGAATACTCGGTGGGCATTATTTTTGTGGCATCAATCATAATATATAGCTGGATACATCTAGAAGATCTAATTAAGCCGAACTCACCGATGTAATCTTTCATTTGTATGCGGAATATTTTGAAGTCAATTGTCGTTGATTATGCACCATCACTCCAAATTAGATTTGGTAATGAAGATTGCAATCTTCTCTTTCATGACACGTACCCCTAAATGTCACCAATCTGGTCTACTTTACTTTGAATGGTAACATCTAAAGCGAAGAAGAACCATTCAGCACTATCAAATCAAGCATTCCCTGTATCTTTTGGCAAACACCTTTACATTACTTAATTGATTCAGTTGCCATCAATACCTAGATACGGGCAAAACACCTTGCATAATCATATGGTTTAAGCAATTAAACAATGTCCTAACAAACCAAATAGGCTACTAAATACAGTATAGGAAGGCCACGTGTTGGCTAAGTGACTCACCCTTGACAAAATCTTGTTCCCCATTATTACCTTAATTGGAATCCTATGCTGAAAAATTAAATGGTTAGTTTCATTGAACAATTTGAAAGCACACGACCAAGGTTGGCAAAAAAACAATAATTAAATAAAACAAAACACGTTTTCCAATTATATTGTAGTAATCAATCTATATGTAATCTAAATCGTGGAATTAAGGATTAATTTAATCATCCACCTGTAGAATGACAATTGGGTCAAAGGCCACTTTCAAGGGATATAACAGCAACAACCCACTCCAGCATTCATTTTTTTTTTTTTTTTTTGCCTTGATTAGATTAGATTATGCTTCCGTCATCGTGTGCATATGATGAATCATGCTACTTTGGCTTGAATATTTGTACTTAATTACAACATTCCGTACGGCATGGAGTTATGAAGCACCACGTTTAACTCCAGGACTCAAACAAAAGGATGGAGATTATATATATATAGCTGACATCATAGTAAAGAAAAGAGAGGAAAAATTGGATTCAAAGTTCTCAATAATGGTTGAAATGGCCCACTTACAAGATGGTATAAATTAAGCAAGAGATCTAGCAGGATATGTCATAGAAATCTCAGACATAAGTAAGTAGGCTCATATATATCATATAGGAGTGAAAGTGAAAATATCATTGTAGCTATGAAGGGTTCTCTAACAGCAGAGAAAGGGTGGACGAAAGGCCCTTGGACTCATGAAGAGGACAAGTTGCTCCGTGAACATGTAAGCTTACATGGGGAGAGTAGATGGAATTCAGTGTCCAAGTTTACAGGTATAGACCTATATTCATATACAAGAGGTGAAATTTGGGAATGTGAAAATCAATATAAGTGAAAATGGAGACGATCATAGAAAAAGATTTGAATTCCACGCATATATATACTTTTTTCTTCCAATGTATATGGGATGAAAAATTTCACAAAGCATGTTGACTAGTAATTTTGCAATTCTTTCTCTTTATTCTCTTACTCAAGAAAAGCTACTTATGTTTAATACACAGTACTTTTGATTAACAAGAAAGAAATATCTATATATTTTTTCTTTATGTATATTTCCCTGCTACCCTTATTAACTAAATTTTAATTGAATTTCAGGCTTAAATAGGAGTGGCAAAAGTTGCAGGTTGAGATGGGTAAATTATTTGAGGCCAGGCCTCAAGAAAGGCCAATTAACACCACTGGAAGAAGGAATCATTATGGAATTGCATGCTGTTCTGGGTAACAAGTAAGAGAAATTAACCTTCACCCTCTCTCTCTCTCTCTTTCTTTATATAAATTAATTTTTCCTTTCTCTTATTATATGGTGAAAAACACAGGTGGTCTACAATAGCAAAGTACTTGCCAGGAAGAACTGATAATGAGATTAAGAACTACTGGAGAACCCACTTCGGGAAGAGAGAAAAACCCAAACACAATAAGAATCAAGAAAAACGAAAAGCAAAGGTGCAAAAACAGTTGAAACAAGAGCAACAACCTCAGCCTCAGGAGTATGATATGATCAAAAGCTCCTTGTATCAAGAGGAGATAAAAAATGAAACAAAACCCTCTGAGATGCAAGACAACAAGCAACAAGAGATCATGGGTTTCATGTACCCAACAATTGAGCACCAATATAGCCTCTCTTTAATGCATCGTGAATTTTCTTCCTCATTTCTAGACACTACTACAGCAGATGATGGCTTATGGTTTAGTTTATGGGATTTTGATGAACCACAGTTCAGCAAATGTGTCATGCCAAATCAAGCTAACTTTGGAGCTGGAGGGGATTTGATGCAAAACCAAGATAAAACTTCGTGTTTCGATGTTGCTTATGATAACCTCAGCTACGGAAAATACATGTTTGATTGAAAAATATGTCTATAACGTTTGTGTGTTTTGCTATGCTGCTAGTTCATCGAGTCTATCTTCTTTTCTTTGTTTTTGGTTTTGTCGAATCCATCTTATTGGCTTCCCATGTTTGATGTGAAATTGTTGTTGCCCTAATAAGATTATTTGACTTGCACATTCTTTTACTTGTTGTTTGTCTTTGTTGACTCTGGAGAGCATATATATAGTTTAGAATAGAAAACTTTCTTGCTATAAGTCCATTCACTATATTAATTTTTAATATACTAGGAAAAAATTGCACTTAATTTAAAATTATAAATGTAGAGATAACTGATAAGGGACGCGAACCCTAACAGAGGAGCAAGAACAGAGAACAAAAGAAAGACATTTATGATTATTTTCTTGAATAAATTCTCATCGGTTACATTGTGCTTTTAATACATTGACCCAAACTACCAAATGGTTTCCTGCCTAATTAAATGAGACGTTAGAGGCTAACAATTTCCATTTCAATTATCAAAATATAAGCTACTCCTAATGCTCCTAATGTAACTGCTATATTGAAATACAACTATACAATTACTGATATGCAATTGTAACACTTAATATCAAACTGCTACCTTTATTGCTATCCAAGTTGTGCCTTTAATTCTCCTTTTATACTAATATCGTAACATTGCCTTCCCCTAAAAAGTAGACCTTGTCCTGAAGGTCCAATGAAAAAAAATAGAAATCCTTTTATATAGGCTACATAGACTACATATTTTTCTGCTATAGCTATAGGTGTGGTCGTGAAGATCACATTGCCAAAATAACCTGGTGGGAGGGAAGGTTGCAACCTTGACCTTCCAGTAGTTGCAATGTACAAAGGAAGCTAGGGCTTTTTAAAACTCTCCTAGTAAAGAAGTTCTTTAAATTTAAATTTAATATAAATTCAAGGATAATCTCTCAATTATATATATTCATATCAAGGATCAAAACTTCCTTAAGAAGAATTTGGACAAAGAAGGACAAACATGAGTCAATTATCAACTTAGTTTCACACTCCAATAAGCTTTAGAAAATGTCCAAGTCCCTAAAAGGTGAATTCTTTTCACATATAGAAGTTGAAATGATTATCTTCAAAAGAAAAAGGACAAGTGCCATAACTATAAAAAGTAAGGTCACTATGTATCCGAGTGCTACCAAGGAAGTCAAATAATATCGCACTAGAAAATGAGGCTAATATACTAATTAATTGATGATCATGGTTGTTAAATAATTTTAAAAAGGTAAGTAGCTAGTCTTATTCCAAACTAAATGTTGACTTTAACTTAATTCAAAGGTTCTACCTAGGAAGCTTGTTTCATTCCAAGCTTGATGATACAATCCAACTAAGTTGGACCATCCTTTTTGTTAAATCATCTTATTCCAAACTTGATGCTATATTATTTGACCTTGAGTAATTAATAATATAACATTCCGAATTGAAACATAGAAATAGTTATTTGCAATAGAAGCCTGTTGATCTTATTCTTAATTGAAACTTGAAATTACATGACAAGGTTGTTATAAGTGATTTGACTATTGGTCTTATTCTTTGAAACTAGACAAGGTTATTCTCTTACAAATAAACTTAAGTTGATGCTCTTTGTAAATCAAATTGTTTAGACCTTGTTCATAATTTATGAAAATGACTTGATGCTTATGAACATGATATTATGATGCTTTATGGCATTAATACATGATATTATGTCTGATGTTATGATGTTAATTTCTTTCAATAGAACTAGACATTTTTAGTAGATTTTTCAAATGATTGAATCTATGATAGTATGAAATTTAAATTTGACATTCTATGAGGGATGACAAAGAGCTTAATGAGTGAGATCTTAATCATGATCTACTTCATGAATGAGTATATCAGTTTGAGTCTCTGGAGACTTGATAGTTAACCTGATATTGCCCATTTTGATTTAGTCCATTTACTGAACTTACATTGTGTTATCTCTATTTTGTAAACATTGTTATTGTTATTTCTATACTTTTAAGGCCTTGGACTATTTGAACTGGGCTACTTATATTTTAGTGTTATACGCATGTTGGTTGTGAACTGATACTGAAGTTTAGTTTGGATGAGTTTGAATTGAATCTAAAATTCTTAATGTTTATTTTGTTATGCTAATCTCTTAAAAGGTTCGTGATAATGATTGTTCACTTATTTAGATTGCAAATAATAATTGAGTTTAATATTTTATTACTAAAACTCCTTGAGTTTAATATTGCAAATAATAATTACCTTAGATTAGATGCAGATGATTCATATATGTTTTGAACTTTATACTGACTAACTTGTTGGATTGTGCTATATGGTGAACATAGGAGAGAGTTGGAAATATATTGTTAATATCGTTCAAATAATTACATGTTCCCATACAAGTCTAAAAGCGTGGTTATTTGAGTTCATATAGTATCAAACCCAATAATTTGTATATTAACTCTAGAATTTTCCTTAAGCTTGAGATAATACCATTTGACATTTCTTTTTTTGGAGATACACGAGAATCAAACACACTACACATACCTCACTCCACTAGGCTAACGCTAGTGGTAACCGTTTGACATTTCTAACTGGATGTATTTTGATATAATACTTCATACAACTCTAAACCATTCTGCCTGAAACTCATAACCTCCAGCATAAACCTATTGCCTCTCGAATGGTGCATTGCTCTACAAGGATATGAAAATGCTAAATGGGGCAGGAAATGAGCAACCCTGTTACTACATCTCGTAAGGTGCTGGCATAAGAAGTTCTTAAACCTGAGAGCTAATTGCAATTATTGTTTGTCAGGAAGTATTATCTGCTCATAACAAATGGATGACTTTGATTTGTGAAAACATTGTATTGACATTTGATAGATCTCACGGAAAAGGCGTACGCAATTGTGTTCGCCCGTAAGAGAGTCCTCCACTTTATCTATCTTTAATAGCAACTTACAACTGAAATTGAGCAGGGTACAGTTTGGAGTGTATGGGTGAAGTGGTTATTCTCAATTGCTTATAATTTCCATTCTCAATTGCTTAGTTATAGGTGAAGTGGGTATTCTGTTTTCGCCTTCTTAAATAAAAGTTACAACCCAATGTCCATCCATCATGGATATTAGGCCCATTTGATCCTATATAATAACCGAATGCAATTGTTAATTCGGTCCAAGCCCAATAAACACATGATTCCCAAAACTCATAATGGATCGGATAATTACATGAGCTTATTTAAAAAAAAATAAAAAAAAAATAAACAGGTAATGCATTCAACCTGTTTTGTAAAACAAACAACACTGACCAACACAAGTCCAAACATAGTAAATTCTAACAGACAATAATCACTGTGGTTTTATCTTCTCTGCAAACAGGTATTCACGCCCACAACATTAAGTCTGCCCTGGTTTCTTATAGTGGCATATATGCTTTTCTTTTTCTTTTTCTCTTTTTTTTTTTAAATTGGTCTCATTTATTTTTATTTTTGTTGAATGAGATAATTTGTCTCATACAACATGAAAACAAATTCCCGGCCCATAGTCAAAATACAGTTTGTGAATCGGGATTCCTGGTTTGCTTTTTCTATCTGTTGTTTTCTTTTCGAGCTCAATATTGGCCTTAGTTTCCAAGTCTTGAACCCTATTCTTTCCATATTAATTAGCTCTAGCATAGCACGAGGTTAGAAAGTATTGCTTTCTCTAGTAACCACATAATTCATGAATGTCTCGTTATTGTACCTCCATATATAGCAAAAAGAGGAACAGAAAAGATAGTCTTACAAGAATAATGTTATATGATCAAATGATGATAGTTCAATTAGCGCATGAGAGCTAAGTAAGTGGGGGTAAAAACACGTATTCCATCTTCTCCAATATTATCTTTGAGAGAAGTTTAAAATCTTAATCTTGAACCTGCTTCAAATGCCTCCTATAAAGAATACATGTGGTTTATAAAAAAAAAAAAAAGAAGAAGAAGAATGTTATATGAATTACGTAATGTGCATTGTTTAAACGTTAGTTATAAAGGAGTTTGCTTTTGTATATGTGAAGATCCAGTAAATTATTATTAATCTGCGTCAAAGGTTTGATAAAATTTATCACACACCTAATGCCAATTCTAATACATAAAAAAAGAGAGTGAATTTGTGTAAGGAAAAAAAATGTGAGGTAAAATGTTTGTTAGATATGTATCTATACCGAATATTGTATTGGATATTTCTTACACACCATTTGATACTTCGTAGCTTTGATCTTATAACTTTTTCGATTTTTATTTTTTTTCCATAAAATTTTGTACCGATTCTAAAATGGGATAGGATATTCTACCTACTATTTTTTCCTGCATACATTTGCCTACCACTCTTCACCACTGTTAGATCAGAATCTTAAGAAGAGAGAGAAAGATAAATATTAGTTAAGAATTTGATCTAATGGTGTTTTAAGGTGGTAGGCAAAGGTAGACAAAAAAAATAGGTAGAATAACTTATCTCTTCTAAAATACTGGACGCCATTGTGTTTGCTATTGTAAATTAAATAAGAATTTTTGTATGTGATATGTTATTCTATCTACCATTTTTTTGCCTACTTTTGCCTACCACCTCCAACACCGTTAGATCAAAATCTCAAAAAAGAAAGAAAGATAAATGTGAGTTAAGATTCCGATCTAATGGTATTTTAGAGTGGTAGAAAAAAGTAGGCAGAAAAAATGGTAGGTAGAATAGGAACAGTGACCATTATGCCACTGTTGGCAAAAAATTTACTAGACTGCCACGCCAACAGTAAATTTTGCCAAAATGCCACGTGGCATATTTCGCTACACTGCGTAGCGAAATATGTGTGCAAATTATTCGCTACACAGTGCAGCGAAATATGCCACGATAGAACCAAAAATGCCACGTGTCAAACAGGGAGAATTTCGCTACACAGTGTAGCGAAATTCTCCATGTTTGACACGTGGTATTTTTAGTTCTGTGCATTCTGACGTGGCGTATTTAGCTATAC